GTGCAGTGGCACAATTTCAGCTCACTGCAACCTCCACCTCCCGGGTTCAAGCAATTCTCCTGCCTCAGCCTCCCAAGTAGCTGGGACTACAGGCGCACACCACCACACGCAGCTAATTTTTGTATTTTTAGTAGAGACGGGGTTTCACCATGTTGGCCAGGATCGTCTCGATCTCTTGACCTCGTGATCCACCCACCTCGGCCTCCCAAAGTGCTGGGATTACAGGCTTGAGCCACCGCGCCCGGCCGACATTGGTAACTATAAAAAGCAAAAGGATGCCATTATAAAAAGGTAATCAAACTTTAGAAGTTTCAGCATCTTGCTCTGCATATGTGTGCAGACACATTTAACATTCTGTTAGAAACTATAAACAATGGATGGACAAGAAAGTCATACTGGTATGTGGAGCTAATATGTTTCCCTCTTTTCCAGATGCTGTCCAAGGAGAGCTGAAATAGAAAACAGCCTAGAATTTAAGACAATTCTAATGTGAAATTTTTGCACCAGGATGGAAGGGGACTCTTACCACAATGCAACCACCATCAATGGCACCCCAGTAAATCACCAGCCTTTGGAGCGCCACAGGTTGTGGGAAGTCATCACCATTGCGGCTGTGACTGCTGTGGTAAGCCTGATCACCATTGTGGGCAATGTTTTGGTCATGATCTCCTTCAAAGTGAACAGCCAGCTCAAGACAGTGAACAACTATTACCTGCTCAGCTTAGCCTGTGCAGATCTCATCATTGGGATCTTCTCCATGAACCTCTACACCACCTACATCCTCATGGGACGCTGGGCTCTCGGGAGTCTGGCTTGTGACCTTTGGCTTGCACTGGACTACGTGGCCAGCAATGCTTCTGTCATGAACCTTCTGGTGATCAGTTTTGACCGTTACTTTTCCATCACAAGACCCTTGACGTATCGGGCCAAGCGTACTCCAAAAAGGGCTGGCGTCATGATTGGCTTGGCCTGGCTGATCTCCTTCATCCTCTGGGCCCCAGCAATCCTCTGCTGGCAGTACCTGGTTGGGAAGCGGACAGTTCCACCGGATGAGTGCCAGATTCAGTTTCTCTCTGAGCCCACCATCACTTTTGGCACTGCCATTGCTGCCTTCTACATCCCTGTTTCTGTCATGACCATCCTCTACTGCCGAATCTACCGGGAAACAGAAAAGCGAACCAAGGACCTGGCTGACCTCCAGGGTTCTGTCTCTGTGACCAAAGCCGAGAAGAGAAAGCCAGCTCATAGGGCTTTATTCAGATCCTGCTTTCGCTGTCCTCGACCTACCCTGGTCCAGAGGGAAAGGAACCAGGCCTCCTGGTCATCCACCCACAGGAGCACCTCCGTCACTGGGAAGCCATCCCAAGCCACTGGCCCAAGCACCAACTGGGCCAAAGCCGAGCAGCTCACCACCTGTAGCAGCTATCCTTCCTCAGAGGATGAGGATAAGCCTGCTGCTGACCCTGTCCTCCAAGTGGTCTACAAGAGTCAGGGCAAGAAAAGCCCAGGGGAAGAATTCAGTGGTGAAGAGGCTGAGGAAACTTTTGTGAAAGGTCAAACTGATAAAAATGACTGTGACTCCCCAAACTACTTTCTGTCTCCACCAGCTGCTCATAGACCCAAGAGTCAGCAATGTATGGCCTATAAGTTCCAGTTGGTCGTAAAAGCTGATGGGACCCAGGAGACCAACAATGGCTGTCACAAAGTGAAAGTCATGCCCTGCTCCTTCCCAGTGGCCAAGGAACCTTCAACGAAAGGCCTCAGTCCCAATCTCAGCCACCAAATCACCAAACGAAAGAGAATGGTCCTAGTCAAAGAGAGGAAAGCAGCCCAGACACTGAGTGCCATTCTCCTGGCCTTCATCATCACATGGACCCCTTATAACATCATGGTCCTGGTTTCTACCTTCTGTGACAAATGTGTCCCAGTTACCCTGTGGCACTTGGGCTACTGGTTGTGCTACGTCAATAGCACTGTCAACCCCATCTGCTATGCCCTCTGCAACAGAAACTTCAGGAAGACCTTTAAGATGCTGCTTCTCTGCCAATGGAAAAAGAAAAAAGTAGAAGAGAAGCTGTACTGGCAGGGGAACAGCAAGCTGCCCTGAGAAGTTAACAACTTATCTCAAAAGAACAATGACCACAGTCAACATCCTCTGAGAATGAGCAAGCTGATTCTGGTTTGTATATTTTTAAAAAGAAGACATCTCATTTTGAGTCCTTCAGGATTTTTGTAAAGGCTCAAGGTCTGTTGCTAAAAGGAAGGGATCACAGCTGCAGCAATTGCTGTCATATTAAATGACTCTTGCCTATGACCAAGGCCACCTGATGCCACTGGAATTTGCCAATGAAGTAAAGGGATAGGCTCATGGCCTTTCACAGGGGAAGCACACTTGGTAACAATGAACAGTGACTCAGGGAACTTTTGTCCCTTTTGTGGGGAACAGCAGGGACCAGGTGGAAACCTTTTCCTGTGGAAATCTATCATAGAACTTTGTGCAATATGTATGCGTCTATGAAGCTGTCTTGTGCCAGTGAGAACCAGGAGAAGGGACATCAGTGTCACTTGTTAACAAGGCTGATATTCAACTGGCTTCTAAGAATATCTTCGTAAACTGATCACTAACTATTATGCAGCTATTATGTGGTCTATGCTGTGGTTTGTTTTCCTCTCCCTACATCTGAGTGAAGGTCTTGCTCTTCCCTTTCATATCCAATATCAATTCCTCATACTTATTGAACTCATGGTGGTCTCCAGGGAACCATCCTTTCTCTCAGAATCCAGGATCTGGAAGGACTGAAACCTGGTCATACCCAGTGCTTTAAAGGGGTCTCTATTCTGCTAATACAGCTGGATCAAGTCTCCGCAGCAGTTATTTTAGCTTTTGCTGGCGGAAATTTTTTTCTTTTATCTAAACAAATATTGTGCATTCTATTTTGTGCCCATTTGAACCCACTTATTTATGTATGCTCTGTTCTTAGGAAGACTAATTGTGTAGGGCCCTTCACTGGCTGAAGATTTTCTCCAGGCTATGGAATTAAGATTCTTACATTGTTTTCAGATATCTTGCTTTCTAATCTCTTCACAGAACAAACCTGAGCAAAATGTGGAAAACAAATTTGCTTCTGAACTTCTTCCAGAGCCCTCTTGCAGCCTCCAATTTCCCTCTTTCAGATGCCCAGTTACACCAATATGTAAGCAGGTCACTGTGCTGCCTCCAAGCAGAGGGCTGCATGGTGGGATGGGAGTGGAAAGACTTTCTTTTTTTATAGGTCCTTCAAATCAGGGCCTAAAAATGACTTATTCATTTCTCTCCAAATTCAGTCAAAAATGAGAAGGCCAGAAAACCACACTTGAGGGTGCAATGAAGATAAAAATAATCTGAAAGCTTCATTTTTAAAAACAAAGTGTAGGTCATAGTAAAGCATAAAAATAAAAGTTAACATGCATTAGAGCATGAGGTTTATTAAAAACCACATTTAATTGAAATCGCTAAGTGTACATAAACAAACTGAATCAAAGGACCTTTGTGGACAAAAGTCCACAAAGAAGCAGTAATGTGGTACACAACAAGGATTTTAAAGATGAAGCACTCCTGTCAGACATTCCTTAACCTGTTGGTTACATCTGCAGCTGGATTTAAAGACTGCCAGACTTCATGCGTCTCAGTGTAGGCCAGGTCCTTTTCAGTCTCATTTGCTAAGAGGATGGAAAAATAGCTGATTTAGTTGTCCTGGGAATTAGATCTGTACCTGAGTATGGGAGAGCTTACCACTGAAGAGCATAATCAGCCTCTCATAGGATGTCCCAAGGAGGCTTCATAGTAGTAGAATCTAGGGCAGGACAGGACTGGTTCCCCTACAGGGACTTGACATTGACATGAAACATCTTGGAAGCAGTATATCTGCTGAGCCTTTGTAAAGGGCAGGTTAACACTTGCCAAGAATTTGGTGGGAATAGTAATTGGCTCAGTTATCCATCACAGAGGCTTTCATGCCTATGTGATGCCAATTGGGTGTGACTTCATGAGCAAACCTGCTCCACCAGCTCCAAATAAATAGTTGACTTTTTTCGTTTAAGGCTTTGATTCCTGACAAAGATGAAAATCCCTTTATGAAAATAGGCTTCTAAGCCCATGTTGGGCATTCACCATTCACAGTTGAGAGTGAAACAAGCTAATTTAAACAAAAGAACACAAACCAGGAAAGGATGCCACTGAGGGCACTCTTTGCATATTCCACTCTTGGTTAGGACTTGGCCTTTTTTGTTCACCTTTTGTGAAATTGATTAAGAAGCCTATTGCTGGGTGTGGTGGCTCATACCTGTAGTCCTAGCACTTTGGGAGGC